TTTTTTTTTTTTTTTTTTTTTTTCTTTTCTTTGGTGTTTCTCGTGTTGCTGGCTAACGGTGGGACTAATGAAAGACTATGTATGACTTACTATTTACACTCTTATTTTTACTTCGACGTTTATTTTTTTCTTTTAACTTCTAACGGGGTATTTTTACGTATTAACTTATACCGTTAATCCCCTCTTCCTTCTCCCTTTCCTTCTGGCTTTTCCACTCTAAAACTCTCTCTTGTGGCAGACTCTTTTGTTTGTCTTCAAAGACTGCTCAGTTGAAGCCTCTTTTGTAAAATCTGCAAATGCAGCCTCATACCAACATTATAATATTATCAACCTTTGAGATCTATAGACATTTATATCTTTATTTATTATGACAGTTATTGTTGTCTTTCTTCTTAATTCAAAATGATCAATAGAATTACATTTGAGATTCTTATCCTTAATCTTTAATTTTGGTAGGATTTTGTTTTCCAGAATACATTCATCCTTCTTTCTTGTAAGTTGTAGTATCTCTCTCGCTTTTTCAAACTCTGATTTATTTGATTCTTCATTTAAGGAATATGCTGAAAATTAATGAAAATCTCTTCTGGCCCTCTTTGTACAATCAATTTTGTTCGAATGTAACGTATTTTAAAGCAAATTTTAACTATATTGCTGTTAATTGAAGATTAGTTCTTTTAAACTTATTCTTACTTTCCTGATAAGCTAGTTGATTTCTATGAATTAGAGATATTGTCTTGAATTGAAAAATTAGGATAATTATAAAAAAAAATATGTATAAATTTGTATATATTAAATCATTTCTTCTTAACTAATATCATTTATAGTTTAATTATTCATCTAGTTAAAATCAATTGGAGATAAACTATTTCAACAAATTCATATTAAGACTTCTTAAATTCTAAATCGATAGCTTTTCGAATTTATATCTATAAGCTTATAAATAACTAATGAGGCTTTGTTCTTAAATATATAGTCCAACTCTTGATTATTTTCATAAACTTCTTATTTTCTT